CCACCAGGGTGCTCCTGTCAAGTTCTGGGTCCGTGACCGATTGCTTACCAAGGTCACCGACATCATGGAGGAGGCCACTCAGACGCGTCGCCTCCCTCCAGCCTGGCGGCCAAACTTTTTGGCTGCCTGGGATTCTTGACCACGGGATGCTTCGGCAAGCTCGGCCGGTCGGGCCTCCATAGCATCAAGGAAAGACAATACTCCTCGCAAGTCGTGATGACACCGGAGATTGAACAGTCCTTTGATCGAATTTGAGCACTACTTCAGTTGAAGCCCGAAAGAGAACTACCGCTTAATCCAGTGCGACAACACCGGTACTTGGCTGCATCCGATGCGGCGCAAGAGAGGCCTGGCGAGGGTTCTGCGGGAGTCTTGTTCATTGACCCCCGTGGTAGTCGAAGGGCCTATGTCGTCCACATCAGCCCAAAGATCTTCACGGTGTGGTCCCATCATGAGGCCAAGATTGCACAGCTTGAGCTCTTGACAGTCTACATGGGCCTTGCGTACAATGCTTCATCAGCTCGTGGAATGCATGGTATATGGTTTGTTGACAATATCGCAGCACTCATGGCCCTCATACGAGGCCGCAGCAACAACGATGAGCTGGATTCTATGGCCGGGGCTATCCATGGCCTTCTGTTTGCACTCCGTAGTGCATGCTACTTTGAATGGGTCCAGAGTAAGGACAACTGGTCAGATGGCATCAGCAGACAGGGAGAACACGACCCGTGGTTCCAACGACATGACTTTCGCCTCTTCCACACCTACCCCTTGCTCATGCTCCTCCAGCTGCCCTACCACCTCATCGCTCAGGTCTTTCAGTTCGTTTGAGTGCTTTTGGATACGTTAGTGCCTTGGATGGAGTGCTCCCACAGGGAGAGTGTCAGATGTCAGATGACACAAGCGACGTGGGTCGCATTTCAAACCAAAGCACTTCAGTACAGACAGTACAGACCTGAATCGATTCGCAGAAAAGGGTAGCAGCAGTCGACATATGTTGATCGAGATTCATCGAATATATTCAATCATTTAAGGTAGGCAGGGTCGGTGATGATGAATTATTTGGGAAGCTTCGAATCAACGTCTCGCAATGTTTGAACGCTCAAGCCAAACTGGGGAGACGCCCCTTGAGGAGCAGTGTCGCTGCTGGTACCTCAAGTTAAACTTTTTCTCCCACCCTGCCACACCCTGTTAGTTACATCCATGTCCACCTGGTGCTGGTCGAGCTGGTGGCTGACTTGGCTTGTCGCCGGAAGAGTCTGGTTTCCTGGTGATAGCCACTTCACCTGTGGCCTTGCTGGCGCTTGAGGGCCGTGTTTTGGTTACTTTCAGTTACCATGGCTATGCTTGCTACGCTTGCCGCCTGGGCTGCCGGCCACGAGAGACTAGGACTGTGCTGTCTGCCGCGGTTGTCCATTTTCGGCTGCCCGCCGCCTAGCCATCATACCTGTTCTGCCGGTCCCAGGTATTGACGATGACTAGGGAGTTTCATTTAATCTTTTCATTTTGCTCTGTCTAGAGCTGGCATCCGTTGTGGCCGTAGGACCGCCCCTGCGGTATCCTCTCGGTCACTAAATACGGATGGAGTGCTCCCACAGGGAGAGTGTCAGATGTCAGATGACACAAGCGACGTGGGTCGCATTTCAAACCAAAGCACTTCAGTACAGACAGTACAGACCTGAATCGATTCGCAGAAAAGGGTAGCAGCAGTCGACATATGTTGATCGAGATTCATCGAATATATATACATATATATACACATATATTCGCTACATGGCTGTCGACCAATCCACGCGTTGATGGGCAGTAGGGTCAATGTAGCCTCCTTTATATTGTTCTTTTTGTTATGTGGTATGAAAAACACTTTGACTGTTTCCTTCAGGAAGAATCATGATTGCTTGAATGCCACATTCGTTGGCCTGGCAACACTGTCATTGGTGTCACTACCACAGTGTTTGTGTCTTCCTGGCATCCTTCTCACAACATCACAATCTTCATTATCGTGAGAGATGACAGAAGCAATCGTTTGGGGTTTGTCGGGCCCCCCTGATATCATGCCTCTACTACAAACTGTTTCTTTTGTGAACATTCGATTTTCAAACTCAAGAAGACAAATGAATGGTTTTGGGATGTTGTTGGCCTCCATGCAGAATACCAGCGGCACGGCACGTTGCTGGCATCATATCTTGATGCAAAGTGGCTTATAGACACACCCCATAGGTTTCATGCTTCAATGGGGTGCAAGCTTGGGCCTGCGCGTTTGCACTTTTGTGTCCTTGTCTTTGGTTAAGTTCAGTGGCCCAGGTGTCAGACGCGAACGTACGAAGCCAGACGACATCCTTTTGATCCAGACCTGTTTCCTTTTGATTCCCCAGTGGCAGTGGGTTCCTTTCCGGCCGAGCTTCAGGATATCTAACCGCGCCAGCAGCAACAGTGAACCGTTGATTGAGTCACGGAGCGCCGTTGTATGGAGTCGCGGCCGGCAGGCGCGTTAGATGTGTGACCGCTGATTCATGGATGTGAACCGATTTCTTCACAGAAGTGGACGTGGTCTCAACAAGATTGGTTTCTTGGGGCCAAGAAGCACCTAGGAACAAGGACGCTATTAGGTGGAGGCCATCCCAAGTAGGTTGGAGTAGGAGCAAGGACGCTACTAGTAAGCTATATATCGACCTTCCTTTTGAGATTGGCCGCGGTGGTGTCGTGATGTTTGAACGTGAGTCGGGAAGGTTTGGCTCACAAAGCCAACACTTTTAGAGTCCAGATTTGCTCTCAAACATTCTCAACACCAGGAAAGAACAGGGGACCCCTCTCTCAGGGCCATGTTTATTGGATGAATTAGGCAGGAAAATCCTGAAGCCAACGCAATTGGCAGAATGAATGATTCTTGTGAATTTAGTGCAAATTAGCGGCAATCCCCTCGCCTTTCTAGACAAGTGGTCACCAAAATGCACCGGCTGCTTTCTTGTTTTCTGTAGGTCGGCGCGAGAATTTGAGAAGACGCCTGATGCCCTTTCTCAAATTGGGTCGACCTGTGAACAACAGATTTTCCCACTGAGTAACTCTGGAACTTCCGGATATATGGCCTTCAGATGTTTCCTCAGCTTCCGGGGCATCACTCTTTCCGTGGGGCCAATGCGCCCGCTGATCAAAGAACAAATTAGTTTTGAGCGAAGAGGGGGTGTCGAGTTCTCGAGCAACGGGCCAAGTAGAATAACATTATCATCCATTCAAGAGCACCCGGCTTTTGCCGGCCCAGTTGAAGACACCTCACTTCCACATTTCGTCTCTGAACCATTCCGCAAAAAATCTCCCATCGTCCTTTCCATCGTGGCAGGGCAGTTGTTTTTCCTGGCGAGGGTCTACTGCTAGGGTGCTCAGGTTGCTCGGAGATAGCCAAGCTTCCTGCAGAGAGCCCAGCTCCATGGAACCCTCATGAGCCATCAGAGTGATCGCGCCAGCATGGAGTGCAAGGGCGCGCTGAAGGGTGACTTGCCAGGGAAGAATGCGGTTCACAATGCCAACCTGTTTCTGTTCTATGTGGGAAATACTAGCTGCTAGCGAGCCAGGCTTGAGGTCGATTGGAGGATCTCGACCTGGTCACAACGTGTCGCAGCCTCCCAAAGTCAAAGACGATTTCACCGCATGGGAGCCGTTAAAGTATGCTTCAGTAGGCTGCCCATTTGCGGGTCATTCATCCTCTGAGTTGCCCTGCAGAGACGATCACTCTCGTTCAGACTCCTGCCTTGCTTATACCGTCACCCCGAAAGGCTTTCGGGCTGGACGGATAGAGCGGATTTATGGCCATGAAAGCCGGTCGTGGGAATCTCTGCTTGTTCCACAACGCCCTTGAACAGCGAGTCAAAGCCAAAGCCGAGATTGTCCACCCCAAGCTGTTGAAAACCATGAGAGTTGTTGGTGAAAATGCATCACACTGATAAGTTGGGGTCTTAAAGCCGGATTCATTCTTCGATCCAGAGTTAGATCTGTCTCGAAACACGAGATCAAAAAGGATCGCGGTGATCAAGCTTCTGACACTCTTTTTGCACAACTCTTCTTCTGGCCTAGCATGTCAGTTGTGTCTTCGATTCTATTGTTCTTTGACAAGAACCCTTTTTCAACGGCATCTATTCCAGCAACCAGAATGTGTCTTCAGAATGCGGAAGATCGGTCAAGTCGAAGTGGCGAACATGCAGCTTGTGAATCATGGCATCGAAAAGCAAACATTGAGTGGATGGCATGGCCCCTTGGAGGACTACTTTCTTTTACACCTCCATGTGATGTGTTCGTCAGAGTGTCTTCACCGTCTCGCACCGTCTCGCACGGATCGAACCTCGCCGCTGCGGCTCGAGCCGGACTCGCAAAGCCTGACTCGCTTTGGAGGCACTTTCAGCCAAAGGACGCTAAAGGACGCTGAGGTCGAAAAGAAGGTGAAGCTAGGATAAGCTGATGAACCAGAACCCCCGAGGTGAAGCACACTTCTGTCCAAATACTAAATGTGTTTTTTTCTTGCATTCTGATTCTTTTCGGATCCATGGCTTTGGACGACCGATGACCTGCTCCGAGCTCGCCCGTCCGATGGCCCAGCACCGGGCTTCGGTGGCTGTAAAGAGCCGTGGGTGGCTGTTGCGGTCGGCCGGTTGGTCGGTTTGGCAAATCGTTTGCTGCGCGTTTTGGATCAAACAAGCTGAGACCATCATATGCATGAACTCTCCACAGTCCATATGCCCTGTACGTGGCCCTTATTTTCCCGAAGCAGGAGGTGGGGTCAAGCATCATTCACTGGGCCCGCAATGAAAAACCTAGTGCGACGCCTCCACACTCCACACCTGAGCCAAGGCTCATCATAGCACCACCGCTTGAGCGGTACTGAGTGTCAACTCTCAGGAAAGAATAGGCACCCTCGGCACTCTTTGGCAGTCTCAGTGGCTCACCATTTCTTTTTGCCAGCTCTCAGCTGTTTCTCGGGCCAGCCATACAAGAAGCGAGTGGGGCGAGCCATGCCCAGAGGGCTCTGGCGCTGGGGCCGCTGGGATGCTCATGAGGCATAATAGAATGGCTGGGGCGGAGCATCAAACATATCGCGAAAACCTGGAAAACTTCCAAGTTCATCCAAGTTTCTTTCCGTGCCTTTACATGACATATGAATAAAAGGACATATTTTTGAAGAGACAAAGTCCCAATGAACTACAGGCCTTTCTCAGAAAGAGCTTTTGCAAGACTTGATGTCACTCCAGACTTGTGAGCATATGAGTTTGGGTTCGATGCAGGCAGTGCCAGCGCCTGATCAACGCGATTTCCAGCATGCATTGCATGGGTCTCTGGTCTTGGTGCCCAGTGGGCGAGCAGAAAAGCACGCCGCTCGGTGAGCAGAGGAGCTTAATAGCGATGGCCTCCGACCTAGTAGCTTCTTGTTCCTAGTAGTAAGGCCAGGAGCTACTAGTAGCTTCTTGCTCCTAGTAGCGATGCCCTTTGTTACTAGTAGCGATGGCCTCCGACCTATCATGGGATTCTGACAGTTGCCCGTTTTTCAGTTTTTGATGTAGGTGCTGTAGGTTGCCCTCACCAGACCAATTCTCTCATTGTGACTCGATCTTGTTGCTTAATCAAAGATCGTCCACCTGTGACTATCCACTACTTATATATATATATCTATCACTTATCAGTCAAAAGCGGTGAGATGCACACTGCCGTTGGCAGTGCTTGGTGCTCTTCATTTTTGTTTGCTGCACACATGCAACAGACGACACTGAAGGAACAAGACACAACAAGACAAGCTCTTGGTTTTTTAGCACAAACCCCAAAACTACAAGTGGACCCTTTTAGTGTCAAAGACCAGAGTACACACATCCTGGTCGCATCCTGTGTATTTTCCTTAGGATCTACCCTGACTTCTTTAGACGAAACCACAGACCCAATTCATTTATCTTAGTTTTTGGTCCGAAAGCTATACATTTGTGTTTGAGGCCTAGTGGCCTAGTTTTATCCAATTATATGCTGCAGTGTTTCACAATATCTTGTCTCACAGGGCTGATCCTCTTGCAGTCCTCAGCCAAATTTCTGTCGGCTTGACTTTGTTTGTTTGGAGGCAGACGTTTGTATCGGCTTGGTAGCCGTCATCTATCTGCACATATTTGTATATTTTGATTTCAATACCGGACAGTTGCGCAAGACAACTTTACCTAAAGAGCATGTGGCTGGATGTCGTGACGCACGATGATTTGGTGGATGAAGGAACACAAAACACCCCAACCAGCTGCAAAACTAGACAATTTGTGAAGAGAACCAGGTGTTGAAGTTAGACCATCCAAGAAATCTGGTCACCAGGCCTCCCTGTTCTTTTCTCAGGCCTCTCTAGCAGCCTTTCTTGGCGCTCAGGCCGGGGGGGTGCTGATCGGGTGAAAGTGGAGATGCAAGGGATCCATCACTTGGTGACCTGTTTTTTTTTCATGAAGGATTTGGAAGTAACGCTGGTTTGCGGTGAGCCCGGTGCACGCCGCCCTTTCGCGTTCATGAAGCTCACCAGTGATCGAGTTTCCGATACTCCGGGCTCTTGAGCGTTGGACGGTGTAGTGTAAGGCTTTGTGCAGCTTTCGCTTCTTGAACTGGTCGCCCAAGTGTGGTCCTGACTGGTCGCTTTTCTAACTGCTTTCGTTTTCGACTCTTTGCCGCAAATGGCTGCGGTATTCAAGTACTCTAGCACATGCCTAGCCATCACGCGTTCGCCTAGGCAAGGACATGGGACAAATGATGTGACAAAGGTGGCGCGACCATGACTCATTGAGAGTTGGGAAGAAGAGACCTATTTTGGTCGTCCGTGTGGTGCTCGTGGAGGTTTTGGGCCGTTCAATGTCGGCTGGCAATTCTCCAGATCCGCTGGTTGGCTGGCCACTTGGTTGGTGGTTGTTTCTGTTCGGTCGATTGCGAGGCGTGGAGGCCGCGGCTTCCCTCATCCTTCGAAGAGGCCAGCGATGGCACGGTGGAGAACTGAAGTAGACACATCCGTTTCAGACAGGGCCATTTAGTTCAGGGCTTTCCTTTGAGACGTTGGCCTTTTGCCGAATGCCAGCACATGGCAGTGAACATAAAAGAAAAAGGACCTACTGTAAGCCAGACAGTGAATGAGCAGCCTGGCACAGCTGCATACCTTCTGCATGGCAAGACAAGGACAGTTTTCTACTTCGTCAGTCGATGACAAGGTTGTGGATTTTATGGGCCGGACCATGCTGAACCATTTCTCAGCCGTCATGTGCAGGCGGACTCGTTTGACTGTTCTAAAATCATTTTGGGACAGGTGGAGTACATGAAGGTTGACTGCGACACCGGGAAAGTGAGGCTCGACCTGCAAAGGCTGTTGAACAACGGGGAGACTTTCCACATTTACACAACCCCAAAACATTGATCAACTGAAGACCCTAGAACTACATCGCTGAAGCTACTAGTAACAAGGTGCATCGCTACTAGGAGCAATAAGCTACTACTAGCTACGTGCATGACTACCAGTAGCAAGAAGCTACCTGGGTTTTGTGTCCAGGATGGGTTTGAGACGGTGAAAGAGTTCCAGATCGAACTGCAAGAAGGGTGATTGATGCGACAGATTTTGAAAAGCTCTGATGATGCAATCAGGATCATGGAAGTGAATGGTGACCTGAATGGTGCTGTGTGAAGGCTCCTTTTTCTAAGGAAAGGCTTCCTCTATGGTCCACGTGGTCCTCCTGTGACCGATCCCAGCATGCTGCCATATGGGCAATTGCCCGGCTGCTTACCAGGCATGGATGGGATGTGACGGACGGATTTGGTTCGGTTGGACGGAGTCATGTCATCTGAGAAATACTACTAGTAGCTTCTTGTTACTAGAAACAAGAATGCTCCTAGTAGCGATGCCAGGAGCCCCTAGTAGCGTCCTTGCTCCTAGTAGTAAGGCCAGGAGCCCCTAGTAGCGTCCTTGCTCCTAAGATGAAAATGATATTCTTTTTTTTACCTTTTCACCGCTGAGGAGTGAGGTTGTGAAGTTCCATACTACTTAGACTGGGAACATCATGTGTTCTTTGGATGTCTCGTTCATTTCGTTCCCTTTCTTCTTCAGGCGAAAAGCCGGAGTGCGAGCCGGACGACGACAATCCATTTTGTCAAGAGCCGCCTCCGCCTCCCCCTTCGCCTCCGCCTGCGGATGGTTCCGCCGGCCCAGTCGCAGGGTTCACAGGCGGGTTGGGAAGAAACATGAGAAGGCTGGGTGTGGCATACCTGAGCCTTAGATCGTTCGGTTTGCACTCAGGTTCCGGAGTCCTCCATACTATGAGGACATTTGAAGATAGGATAATCATATTTTTGAGCCTCTTAGTCTTATTATTAGATTCTTTGTTCAATGGGGTGCAACATTTGATTGTTTCTGGTGTCGCTTTGGGCCACCAAGTTCTCATGGTTTCGAGAGACACTCCCTGCTCCAAGGAGCTGCTGGAGCATTTGGTACACCCGAAGAGCCGAACGCTGCCGAACCGGCTGCCGAAGGAGCTGAGGCTGTAGACGCGGATGCCCCACCAGACCAGCCGGCAGAGCCGCCGGTGCAGCCGCCGGGGCAGCCGCTGGGGCAGCCGGGGCAGCCGCAGGCGCAGCCGCAGGCTCCTGCTGCCCCTCTGCTAAGTGGACCTCCTTTGCCTGCTTTGCCACCCTTGCCACGAAAGAAGTGCATCCCGGGCGAGGACAGAAGCGAACAGATCGTTTTAAAAGGCTTGCATGGGTTCTGGTGATGGGTGTGTTTTTGTGTTCCCACTCTATTCGTTGTTTTCCCTATTCGTTGGCTTGGGCAAGACAAAGCGCCAGGAGATTCCGACACCCATGGAGCCTTGTCAGATCAAGCAAGGCCTTTGCTGCCACAAATGCAGGAGCAGAGCAGACTGCAAACTGTGCTTGGAATGGAAGGACCGCAGACTTGATGAGCCATGGTCAAAGAGTGCAGTCCTTGATTGGAATTGATAAGTTGGACTCATGTATATACATGATATTCCACAGGTCTCCTATGCGGGGAGAGGCTTTGCTCACCCCTGAAGTTTCGCTGTCAGGGGTGCTGACTGACTGAGTTGGGTGAAGCCATGCAATTCAGCTGCTGAAATGCATGGCTTCACCACCATGCTTCAACAGTTGTTACTCTCTGGCGATGCAATGGATCGTTTCACAACAGTTGTCCCCAGGTTTTCTTTGGTCTGGACGGCCAGGCAATGGCGACACTCTAGGACTCTAGATCCGTTTTGAGCTTTGGCATACTTGGCTGACCAGAAGGGAAGGACTGACTGAAGGCTACTTATAGCAGCCAATTCGATGACCCGGTTGCAGTCCTTGCTGAAGCCCACAGCTCGCTCGGTTGGAGTCGATCCGGAGCCAGACGCGCCAGGAGGTGCTTGGGCAGATCCCCGTCGATATCGATCGGAAGGCACGGTCCGCGTCGATTGGACCAGCAGGGTGAGCTGGTCTTTCAGATCTTAAATGGTAGAGAGAGCTACCAACTGCTACCAACGTGCCTGGGAGGTGACAACTGTATTGAGCATACTCCAAGTAAGAAGGTAAGAAGATCGCAAGATTCTTGAAATCTGCCAGATTCTTTGTACTCCCAATGACCATGCCAAGAACAGCTTGCATAGTTGAGCTATGACACCCTATACCATTCTTGGGTTCGCCTGTTGCAAGACCTGAGAATGTGTCGGCCCCTTTGTGTGGGCCCGTCGTGTCAATCCTATTTTCATGAAACACTCCTCCGAGCCGATTGTGTGGGGTCCAACTAAAATAGTCTTCCAAGCGCTGCCCTGCACACCATGTCTTTTAACCTACAGCGATGGCCTCCAACCTAGAAGCGATGGCCTCCAGCCTAATAGCGATGGCCTCCAACCTACTAGCGATGGCCTTCAACCTACTAGCGATGGCCTCCTCCAACCTACTAGCGATGGCCTGCAACCTACTAGCGATGTCCTCGAACCTACTACCGATGGCCTCCAACCTACTAGGGCCTCCAACCTAATAGCGATGGCGC